GAAAAGGAACCCAAAGTTGATCAAGAGATTCGGTGGTCCATGCAGATCGCCGAATGATACCAGCGTTGCCTGCGGAACGGATGGTAAATACTATAGTGCTTCAGCTTTTCGTGCCGAACAATCGGTCAGACCTGAGCTTGGAGAATGGCCGTTTGATAACTGTAGGCCTGTGCCACCGAACGGCCCTGGACCCCATAACGAACATGGTGGACGTCCTCCTATCACACCTATGCGTGAGGTCGCGACTATCTGCGGAAACGATTTCTTGATCTACTTTGGAGCAACCTACATTGCGCAAAAGAAGATCAGACCAGAACTCGAAGAATTGCCGCTGAGTGATTGCTACTACAAACCCTACTTCCAACAATAAATCAGTACACGACTATATGCTAAATAAATGAATAATACCAAACCTATTTGCATTTTTCTTTAATAACATCGTACAGTTTTTGCTAAATACAGACAAATAGCAAATTCAGTAAATTCCCTTGGGAATTTAGATTATTCATTCGGAACTTAACAGGTGCTTCGTGCATTTAAGTTGATAATCGGATTATGTTGGAAATCTTGCGCAAATGAAAAGAATCGAGAGTTTACCACGGAAATAGGTTATGACGAAAAACAAGCGAAAACGAATCAGTTTCCCATTGATCGAGAATTCGCTGCGCTTTGAAAGGAAGGCTTTGAAACAGAAACAAAAGACGGACGAAACAAGATTAAATCGAATGTACCGTGATCAAAGCGCGTGGAGTGTTTGTAAAAGGATGAAAGGGTGTGACGAGAACAAAATTATCGAACATTTTTGTGTTATTATTCATATCAATATTTTCATATCCTGCATAAAACATAAGCAATAATTTAGTAACTTTCTCAAGCAATACGCAATAAATCTTCTTTTACACAACTATCCTCAAACAATACAGAAAGTTAGCAATTTTTCAACTGAGTTTAGTACTTAGCAAGGACACATTTTGTTGCACTGTATCCTCACTGTTCCTCTGGTCCTCATCTTCAATTCGCAGAAGTTTTGGTAAGTTATTCCGTTCGTCCCGCAAACCAGTTTGGAAAATGAAGGGCAAACATTCCAAATATGCGAGGAATACACCATCAGGAGACAAGACATCAGAACTAACAGCACGAAAATAATCTTCATTTTAACTTCTGCGCTGATCCATTCCGATTCATTTTATACTCTGCTCGCTGTTTGTTTTTCGGTTTCTATAACGACCGCAGGTCGGAAGGTCAATCACCAATCACTTGGTTTTAGTACATGGGAAAGTACAGAATGTAGAAGGGAAAAAACAAGATCGATTTGCGGCTTTAGTAATTATTACGTCAAATAAGATAAACTTTATGCAATCAACAAATTATGTTCTACTCATTGAATAAGATAAATTGAAAACTATTTTAGTTTATTTATAAATTATTGATTAAGCATTGTTTCACTGGATTATCTATTAAGAGTATAACGGGAAATTAAAAAAAAAAACTAAAGATGTAATATGCTCACTAGATCTATGCATTTTATTGGCGTTTACAACTTGTAACATCTTACATCTTATGTTTCAAAATAACATCTAGCACGGACACGCTCCTTTGCATCGAACCCTGGCTCTACCTCTGCTCCTTTGGGTGAGGACGCAAGAATTCGAGTAGGTTCTGCCGTCGGTGCCGCAAACTGGATCAACATCAAAGGTGCAGACGATGTTGCCTTGACACACGACCATCGTGACAAGAACTGTCAACAGGATGACTGCGAATAGGAGCTTCATCTTGACGACTGCAGCATCCGATTTTTCCGTGCACCATTTTATACAGAAAAACCAAAACCGCAGTTTCTATTACGTTATTAAATTCCCAGAAAAATCTGCCACCGGTTTTCCTTGCAATTTCCATAACGATTAACAAAAAAAAATATAACAAAGATCTTTGTAACCTCGATAAACTACGTAAATAGAGACAATTCATTCGTTCCTAGAAAAAAAATACTGTTATGAATATAAATCATTTCCAATGTTTCAATTTATATAAGTTATTTAAGTGAAGAAGTCTTTGAAAAATAGTTCACTATTTGTATGATAGATAGATGTATGTCATTAGAAAACATATGATTTTGACAGGTAGAGTTGTCAAATATGACAGATTAAGGTTGTATTTTTGGAAATACATGTCAACTGTCAAAAATAAGTTGACATTTTCTAGTATAAACAATTAGAAATGTATTGAATTACATGACTGTGGAAATATAAACAATGAGGCATTTCTCTGAAATTTTTATTACTGTCGTTAATTACAAATCGTCATGGAAACAAAGATTATTGTATTTATTGTTGCTTAGCAGAAACCACCGTAGAAGACGCTGAGGAAGGGTTTATAGTTTCTTGCGCAGACGAGTTCGCAGAGGTTGTTGTAGGTGATGCCATCTGTTCCGCAAACCAGATTACTTCCGGGTACGCAACCACACCTACTCCTCTCATGGCAAGTTCCGTGCCATCTCAAATACAAACCCCTGTTCTTCCTCTTGGCCTCGCACAGCAACATGCACGGATTACCGTACGTCACTCCGTCCGACCCGCAAACAGGATTGTACTCTTTCGTGCAGAAGCAAGGGCATTCGCCCTTATCCACAAAAGTGACGTTGGTGTTCCTCCCAGCGCAATTGAGCTCGCACAAGTTACCGTACGTCACATTATCTGATCCGCAAACCGGTTCGTAGACGGCCGGACAAACGCAGCATCTCACATGCCTCAATTTCGGGTTTCTCTCAATCGCACACTTCAGCTCGCAAATGTTCGAATATGTAGAACCATCAGAAGCGCAGACAGGATCGTAGATGGGTTTGCAGACGCAACAAGGTCCTTCCTTCGAGATGCCCAGACGTGGATTCAATTTGGCCGCACACTCCAAGAAGCATTTGTTGTTGTAGGTAATTCCGTCCGATCCGCAAACCGGTACATATTCTTTGGTGCAGGGACAATCCTGGCCCAAGGCGGAGGTGGCCACCAGAACGAGGACGAGAAGGCACGAAGGTGTCTGCATGTTGAACTATACTCAATATCTCCACCCGAAAACCTCAGTTTATATATGGAAAATTCCACACGTTCCGAATGCAAATTCACCTGCTATCATTGCGCGAAACATTGCACATTCTTAATTATCAACTTCCTGCTTTTGCAAACTAAATATAGATTTAATGCGTTCGAAAAACATGATTTTACCTATCAAATGCATACATTTCGGTTGAGTTCAAAATATATATAAAAAATACGTGAGAATTTATAACTTAATTTTCGATTGTTTTAAAACAATTTAATCGGAATAGTGACTAATCAACGAAGTTTAACTTTCCATGAAATCTGTTACGAATTGTTCGGATGAATCGAAGAAATCTTCGCTTAAAACTAAAATAGTGATAAGACAATTCGAGGATGAAGACGATGAATGCTAAGAACAGAGCTAAGAAGACGTAGATGAAGAGGACCAAGAAATCGTCGAACTTTAAAGCCCCGGAAACGGGTTTCACTTCAAGACTTTTAACCCAAACAGCTGCATCGCTTATTCTCGTTCGATCAATGTTCTTCGATAACTCCTGATCGAAGATTCTCATCGCGGTGAGTTGTCCCAAAATATCGTTTATTTTATCTTTCAAAAAGAAGTTTTTCTTCATGAAAATATGGAAGAAATTCATCGAAATTCTATATGAGTAACATGAGAGACGAGATTCACTCTTATATTGAGTTTTCATGAATTTGAAATGATGCTTCGAGTAGACCCTTGACTTGAATAGAACTGCAAACGTCCCTTCCTCGATGACTTTCGTGGCGCACGCCACTGGATCATCGCATATTCTGAACCTAGTGTCGTTCATAGCTATATTCTCTTCGAAGTCGAACAACTTGAAGAATCTTTTGTTCAAGTAGATCGGTATGAGTTGCGTATAGGAAGTCATTCTAGCTGATATATCTATTGGTCTGATCATGGGTTCTTGGAACTGCTTCACCAAAATACTGGTGAAGTTGACGGAGAAGACGACGGCGTAGAGGAGCCAAGCTCCATGGAGGATCCTCATAATGCTGGTGATTGGGAGTGTTAAATTGGAGACGTTCAGGATGATCCTCAAATACCAGATGAAAATAGCGTAGAACGAGTTAACTTTATCTTTGATTATCATTAGTTTAGCGAAAAGGAAAGTTATGAAAACGTAAATAAACATGGAGTAAATGGTGTAATGAAATTGTTCAACTAAGATTTCGGCTAATTTGAACCATTTGGGCTCAACACCAGGACGTCTAATGCAGAAAATATCGGTGTCCTCAAAGTATAAGTGAGAGTAATCAAACTCGAAGTATCTTTCAAGCGTCAACGTGTCCAAAGGTAAAGCTAAATCATCATAGCCCGAATCCAAACCCTTCAACAAGTAATCAAACTCAACAGTCGTGTGATTCTTCTCGTACAAATGAAGAACAGGCGTGAAATTCAACTTATCCCCGATCATTGCAACAAGCGCGTTTTGCGATCCATCCGAATCCGTTTCGCTTCCAAACGGCGGAACATTATGCACTTTAAACTTAACAGGACATCCCATCAGATCCTCAACTTTATCCACAAAGAAATCTCGTTTCACTTCAACCAGATCGCCGAAATCCTCGCGACAATTCGACGCGCTAAATGGAAACCACGAGAAAATCTTCGAATCTTTAACGATCACAAATTTACTAACGAAGAACGTCCACAACACTTCAACCAAACCATCGTCATCGTGAAAACCACATGCGGGAATCACGACGAATCTCAGACTTTGCGTCAAGTTTATCGCGGAGAGGAATCCTTTGATTTCGTGTAAAGTGCAGAAGCGAATCAAGAAGACGTCGCTGTGAGGAATTTCGCTGCACGGTTGCGAATCGTATATTCGCACGGAATGCCTCAGATTCTCTCCGGAGTATCGCTGGAATTGGGTGAAATCGCTGTGATTTGGAGTGAAGATCGTTACGATTTCGCCGTCGCCGAATTCGTTTTCGTCGATTAATTGGAGCACTTCGAGTAGTTTTTCTGAAGCGTTCTTTGCAATCACCAAAGGGATGAGGATGTCCCAAAGCGCGACCATCGCTGATAATTGACTAGAAGTTAGTGTATTCAGTTGAGAAAATAACGCTGTGGACATAATTCTAAGAAAATAACGTTTAGTAAACAACACTAAGCAAATAACAGCTAAGAAAATAACAGGTCGTGATGGATGTTTGTTTAACGGAAAAATTATCCATTTCGCTCTTCTGATTGCGTGCACAAATCGAACAATATCACTTGACTAATGGATTATCCAAGTGGTCTACGATTTCGTAAACAATGTAATTATATTATGCTTCGATTGTTAAGAAGAAGAAGAAAAAAAAAACAAGTAGGATGGGGGAAACGGTTTTACTTTAGGTCAAAAGTTCAATTGTTATCGGTTTTCAATTGTTTATTTCAAAGACGTCCTGATGATGCGAGAAAGAAACAATTGCGTAATTTCATTTTACACACTCTTTCAGCATTGTCCCTGGTAAAGGATTGTTGCTTTGTTCAGAGGATTCCTCGCATTGTAGCAGTCCAATTCGCAGTTGTTAGCGTATGTTCCACGATCCGTACAGACCGGAATGAAGACAGTTGGACAGTTGCAGGGAAGGATTGAAAGACCACGACTTCCCACCTTGCAAACACCATCGTAGACGATCCTTAGATCAGCGTCGGAACGTTGGGCGCATTCGAAGAGACACTTGTTGGCATAGGTGACGCCGTTGGAAGCGCACACCGGTACGTACTCTCTGGTGCAACGACAATAATCTTCCGAGAAGCAGACGCCCAACAAAGCGGAGAACAATAGGAATGCGATGGTCTTCATTGTAGCAGATTCAATTCTTACCTAAATTACCGTACACTTCCTTCATATTTATATAGGACAATAATTGCTTATGCAAATATCATTCATTCAAGTATATTCTGGGATTAAGTATTATTAAGAAAATCCGTCAGCAAACAAAAGCACAATAGAATATTAACTGTTAACATTTAAGTTCCTAACAATACATACACAATGATTATCCTGTCATTTTTGACATTTTGTCGTCAAGGTTATATAATTGAGAAACGTTTTAATTGGCATGGTTACTAACGGTTTTTTTTTTGTTGCAGGTGGTGGTGACGTACGCGTCAACCTACGTCCTAGTTGCATTGAGCATCGACAGGTACGATGCCATCAGACATCCCATGAAGTTTTCAGGAAGCTGTAAGTTGAAATAATGCTAGAATGATACATATGAAAGTTGGATATTTCGTCGTTGAAAAATGAAGTCTCTATATTTTAGTAATGCTTCTTTTATGACAATTTAAAAAAATATTTTTTCTGAAATTTCAGGGAAACGTGCCAAATGTCTTATAATAACTGCGTGGCTTCTCAGCGTGCTCTTCTCAACCCCAATTTTAATCCTATACGAAGAGAAGATCGTGCAAGGTGCGTTTCGTGTCAACCGAAAAGAAAGTAAACGTTGTTAAGAAAAATTTGCTTCTTCAGGTGCGCCTCAATGCTGGATCGAGTTACCATCGCAAGTGCACTGGCAAGTGTACATGTGCTTGGTATCGGTGAGTCTCTTCCTGATACCTGCACTGATCATAGCCAGCTGCTACACCATCATCATAGCCACGATCTGGTCGAAGAGTTCCATCAGCGTCACCAAATCCAACTGCAAAGGACTCGACACCAGAAGAGTCAGCTCCAGAGGTCTCATACCTCGCGCCAAAGTGAAGACGGTCAAGATCACATTCGTCATAGTCAGCGGTGAGTGCGAGAAAAACTAAATACACATCAGAAAAACTAAATTTGATAAAACAGTCTTCATTTTATGTTGGAGTCCGTACATCGTGTTCGATTTGCTGCAAGTCTTCGACTGCATCCCGCCCACGCAAACCAACATTGCCATAGCAACGCTAATCCAAAGTTTAGCTCCGCTGAACTCCGCAGCCAATCCGATCATCTATTTCGTGTTTTCCACGAGGATATGCAACAGATTCTGGTTCGTCCAATTCGTAGCCCACTTTGATCAATTGGTTATTTATTACTTTTTCAGCGATATTCCGCCTTTCAGGTGGTTCAGGTGCCTAAAGATGGGGCAAAACGACTTTGCCAACAACACGCAAAGCAGTTCGCTCTCCGAATTCCTCACGTCGAATACGAGACGAACAATATCCAGGCCAAGCCAGTCGGTTTTAGTTAGTAAAATTTAAAATGTATTTTGAATTTATTTTTTGTTAGGTAATCCGAAGACCATTTAGAGTGTACATAGAGTAAACAATTTTTGTATAAATCCTGTATATTTTACGAAAGTATTACTTAGACACGTATATTATTAGCACTATTTCATGTATATAGGAAGACATTTTAGATGTTTGTTAAATTACATATAAATATATAAGAAATTTTGATTGTTTCTTTTGCATTCAGTTTATAAATAATTTACAGAATCAAGTAATCAATAAAAGTTAAAGGTAGGTTGCTAGTAGTGAAGGTGTGATTATTAAAAGTTCAATTGTATACATTTCAAGTAAATTTATTTATTTTTTAGCTGGTTTGTTTTTATTCCAAAGGGTAAGGGCACACTCCCTTGTGCAGAATGGTGACCGGTTTGTTGGGATAGTCCAATTCGTAGCAACTGATGTAGCATCTATTGGCGAACGTTCCTCTGTCCGTGCAGACTGGATCGACGATATCTGGACAATCGCAGTTGTCCAAATAATGTCTCGCCTTTTTGCAGACTCCGTCGTAGAGGATCCTCAGATCAGCGTCGATGCGTTGGGCGCATTTAAAGGTGCACTTGTTGCCATAGGTGATGCCGTTGGAAGCGCACACCGGTATGTACTCTCTGGTGCAAGGACAAGAATCTTCTGCAAAGCAGACGCCCAGCAGAACGGAGAACAATAGGAATGCAATAGTCTTCATTGTAGCAGATTTAATTCTTACCTAAATTACCGTACACTTTACATCACTACTTATACTACAAAATCATCCCTCCTCATCCAAATTTGCCTATTATCACTTTGAAGATTACGTCTGTTTATTTGGACTAATAAAACCGTCAGGAAACAAAAGTGGAAACAATGCAACGATATTAATCGCAATTTTTTTCAACTCTAAATCTTTATAATATTGTATTCATCAAACGGATTAGTTGTTAGTATTGTTATCTAGTCATAAGATATTTTCTGTTCTTAATCAGCATGATTACATAACGCAATTTTTCATAATTTCTTCATAAAAGTTATATAGTCAATACTATTTGCGCTGCATCTTGGTCGACTAGATTTTTAAAAAGCACAGAAAATTAGCACATGCATAATTGAATATGGTTAAAATTACGAAGATATATCAACAATATAAGAAATTGAATAAATATTTTATAATTAAATTTAATATCAACAATTATTTAATTAGAAATTTTTTAAATTTATTCAATATTATTTCTGAACTTTTGATAAATCAGGTATGAATGTCCATAAGGAAAATAGTTTAACAATTTAAAAAGTTATAATTAGACGTGAGTAGCAATAGGATGATAAAAGGTGTCATTATTAAAATGTTAAGGTAAAATCAATTGGTTTTTGATTTTGCTTTATTTTTAAAATTATTTCTAAAGTTTTGATAAATTAGGTATGAATGTCCATAAGGAATGCTGTTGCCTCAAAATGTAGATGAAATCCATATAGTTTCAATATTTTCACTTGAAATGTTAAAATTTGTATAATTAAACGTGAGTAACAATAGGATTAGAAAAGGTGTAATTATTAAAATGTTAAGGTAAAATCAATTAATGTTCTATATTTTTTTATTTCAAAGTTAATGCAGAGCTGGAGTATACAATTCTATAAGTTCCATTGCTTAACTCAGTATGCAAGGACACTCGCCTTTGCATTCAATTACGGCCGCTTTATCGGGATTGGCCATCTGGAAACAGGCAAGTTGGCAGCTGTTTCCGAATGTGCCGAAGTTCGTGCAGATCGGACTGTAGACATCTGGACAGATGCATTCACGAGGTCTTTCAATCCTTCCCACTTTGCAAACACCTTCGTAAACGATCCTTAGATCAGCGTCGGAACGTTGGGCGCATTCGAAGAAACACCAGTTGCCATAGGTGACGCCGTTGGAAGCGCACAGCGGTCTGTTCTCTAAGGTGCAAGGACAATCTTCTGCAAAGCAGACGCCCAGCAGAACGGAGAATAATAGGAATGCAATTGTCTTCATTGTAGCAGATTCAATTCTTACCTAAATTTCCGTACACTTTACCTCATTATTTATACTACAAAATCATCCCTCCTCTCCAAATTGGCCTTTTATCACATGTAATTTCTACTTTGAGGATTATGTTAGTTTATTTAGACTTATAAAACCATCAGAAAACAAAAGTGGAAACAATGCAACGAGATTAATCACAATTTTTTTCAACTCTAAATCTTTATAATATTGCATTCATCAAACGGAAACTATGTTAATATAGTTACCTATCCATAAGATATCTTCTGTTCTTTTGTTCAGCATGATTACATAATGCAATTATTTTATTGCTTATCGTGAAAATGTACGTTTTCAGGTTTTTTTTTTTTTTTCATAAAAGTTATATAGTTAATATTATTTGCTCTGCATCTTGGACCTCTAGATTTTTAAAATGCACAGAAAATTATAAATCAATTGGTTTTTGATTTTGTTTTATTTCAAAGCTAATGTAGAACTAGAGCATACATTTATTTTTTGCTTAACTTTGCATGCAAGGTGCATTATCCAAGCGATCTATGAATTCGTAAACAATATAATTATATTGTGCTTCAATTGTTAATTTAAAAAAAAAAAAACAAGTAGGATGGGGAAACGGTTTTACTTTAGGAAGTCAAAAGTTCAATTTTTACCATTTTTCAATTGTTTATTTCAAAGACGTTCTGATGCGAGAAAGTAACAATTGCGTAATTGTATTTTACATAATCTCCCCGCATTCTCCCTGGTAAAGGATTGTTGCCTTGTTTCTAGGATACATCTCATTGTAGCAGAACACATGGCAGCTATTATCAAATGTGCCTAGATCCGTGCAGACCGGATAGATGACATCTGGACAGATGCATTCACGAGGTCTTTCAATCCTTCCCACTTTGCAAACACCTTCGTAAACGATCCTTAGATACGCGTCGGAACGTTGGGCACATTCGAAGAAACACCAGTTGCTATAAGTGACGCCGTTGGAAGCGCATAGCGGTCTGTTCTCTAAGGTGCAAGGACAATCTTCTGCAAAGCAGACGCCCAGCAGAACGGAGAATAATAGGAATGCAATAGTCTTCATTGTAGCAGATTCAATTCTTACCTAAATTACGGTACACTTTACCTCACTATTTATACCACAAAATCATCCCTCCTCTCCAGGAGGAGAGGAATACGTCTGTTCATTTGGACTAATAAAACCGTCAGGAAACAAAAGTGATTGTTTCGAGATTAATTGCAATTTTTTTCAACTCTAAATCTTTACAATATTGCATCCATCAAACGGATTAGTTATTAGTATTGTTATCTATTCATAAGATATATTCTATTGTTAATCAGTATGATTACATAACGAATTTTTTCATATTTTTTTCATGAATGTTATATAGTTAATACTATTTGCTCTGCATCTTGGACCACTAGATTTTTAAAAAGCGCAGAAAATTAGCACATGCATAATTGAATATGGTTAAAATTACGAAGATATATCAACAATATAAGAAATTGAATAAATATTTTATAACTAAATTCAATATCAACAATTATTTAATTAGAAATTTTTTAAATTTATTCAATATTATTTCTGAACTTTTGATAAATCAGGTATGAATGTCCATAAGGAAAGTCGTTGCCTCAAAATGTAGACGAAATCCTTATAGTAGAATATTTTCACTATAGTTTAACAATTTAAAAAGTTATAATTTGTATAATTAGACGACAGTAGCAATAGGATGAGAAAAGGAGTCATTTTTAAAATGTTAAAGTAAATCAATTGGTTTTTGATTTTGTTTTATTTCAAAGCTAATGTAGAGCTAGAGCATACATTTATTTTTTGCTTAACTTTGTATGTAAGGACACTCGCCTTTGCATGCAAGGTGCATTATCCAAGCGATCTATGAATTCGTAAACAATGTAATTATATTGTGCTTCAATTGTTAATTAAAAAAAAAAAACAAAAAAGAAGGATGGGGAAACGGTTTTACTTTAGGAAGTCAAAAGTTCAATTTTTATCTGTTTTCAATTGTTTATTTCAAAGACGTCCTGATGCGAGAAAGTAACTTTTGATAAATCAGGTATGAATATCCATAAGGAAAATAGTTTAACAATTTAAAAAGTTATAATTAGACGTGAGTAGCAATAGGATGAGAAAAGGAGTCATTTTTTAAATGTTAAAGTAAATCAATTGGTTTTTGATTTCGTTTTATTTTTAAAATTATTTCTAAAGTTTTGATAAATCAGGTATGAATGTCCATAAGGAATTCTGTTGCCTGAAAATGTAGATGAAATCCATATAGTTTCAATATTTTCACTTGAAATGTTAAAATTTGTATA